GCTTGTAAAACCACAAGAAGTCAGAATTTGTATTCAATTTTAAACACCGTTTAAATATATCACTGTTACACATCGATGAAGGTTGAGTTCGAATTTCTTAAAAATCGGACCGAAACTGCCAGACAAATGGCCGTCCCTTGTACGCAAATAGTGTAAGAGTGTGTAATACCAGGGTTGTAGACCCCCTTGAAGTCACACTTTTTATCCGATTGCGCATATCAGACCGCAACTTCCTGGATTATGGCCCCTGATTTAGTTTGTGGATTCTCTAGAGGTCACAATTTTTTATCCGATTTTAAAAACCGTTTAAATATATCACCATTCCACCATAATGAAAGTTGAATCCACATTTCGGGAAAATAGAAACGAAACTGCCCGACATAGTGGCCGCTCTCTGTACGCAAATTGTGTAAAAGTATTTAATACGAAGGTTGTGAACCCTCTAGAGGTCACTATTTTTATCCGATTTCGATGAAACTTAAAATATATCTTTATATCACAATACAAAGATCCCATTCCCGTTCGATATTTTCGCATTTCAGACCATGATGTTCTGGATTATGGCCCCTGATTGTACAAAAAATCGCTTTTGTTTCCTGGAAATCAACTGCAAAGTCAAAGAAGATGATTAATCTGAGTAGCAATCTAAAATCTATCGAATATTCGCTGCAGTAATCATATACTAAGCAGCAAGATGGCCGAATGGTTAGCACGCGCGCGCTGTATCATAAGGCCTGTCATTGAGTCAACTGGCGTGGTTTGGAGTAGGGTCGCCTGTCCAACCTCGTGGGTTTTCTCCGGGTCCTCCGGTTTTCTCCCACTGCTAAAGACCCCTACGCGCAAGCAAATTATTGAAATAAAATTTTTAAAAAAACATATGTTAGTCCTGAAATGACCTAGTTTGTGTCGAGTGGACGTTAAACCCAATTTCTCTCTCTCCCACTAAGCAGCAAAAAGAAACGGCAGGTAGGTATGTTACTCTGAATAGACGCATTGCATAAAACTTGCCAAATGTTTTTATTGTATATTTGTGACCACATCTCCAACTTTACCTGAGCAATAAGGCTTCTTCCCAAACACAGAATTGAACCCAGGAAATGTTCTCCGAGATGGTAAGGTGTTCTCCATGATATTCATGTAACTCATGCTGCACGTGCTGTTCACCGGGACTAGCCCTATAAAATGCACCCCCATACCTGGTTGAATCATTCACACTACGTCAGCAGCATACCACGACTCACGACTCGTGAGCATGCCACGACTCACGACAGCTCTGAGGAACCAGGCGTTTGGAAGACTCGACGCTGGCCACACTGCCCAAGCTGTTGCCAATCACTTCCAGGTCAATGTTCGGACCATCTACAGACTTCAGCAACGCTTTCGGGCCACCAGCACCACGGATGATCGCCCCCGAACTGGTAGACCAAGGGTTACCACAAGGCGACACGACCGCCATGTTGTGCGACAGCACGTGCAGAATCCCTTCACTCAGGCATCTGAGACAGGACGTCAGACAGTGGGAACACACGGAAGACCCATCAGTACCGATACAGTGCGCCGACGTCTCACCAGAGAGAACATCCATTTCCGTAGACCTTACCGTGGACAGATCCTCGGCGCTCGCCATCGACGTGAACGTCTACAGTTTGCCCAACAACACCAGAACTGGCGACACAGGCAATGGAGAACTGTTCTGTTCACAGATGAGAGTTGGTGTTGCGTATCAACTGCAGGTGGCATTACCGGAATATGGCGTCGACGTGGCCAGCGTTATTCTGACTAATGTGTCATGGAACAAGACTCATGGGGAGGTCCAAGCATAATGGTTTGGGGGGGGGGGGGAGTCGGCCTGAACCAGAGAGTTGGTCCTGTGGTGTTCCAAAATCTTGGTGCAGGGAGAGGAGGCGGCATCACAGCAGTGCGCTACATCGATCAAGCTCTCAGACCCCATGTCATACCGCATTTCGCACGTCGTCGAAACAACGTTTTCCGGCATGACAACGCCCGTGCCCACACCGCAATCGTCTGGTCACAAAAAATGCTTTGATCCATTTAGTAAGTCATTTTCTAGAATGATTTGATTAAAGTGCCCCTCTGATTTTGAAATCGTACTGACAGGTTTTTTTTTGCTGTTTAGTATACTAATGTGCTGCTATTCGAAAATATACGGTTGTTTTTTTTTTTACCATAATATTGGCTAGTATTTGGTTATTATTTGCTTGTTTTGGGTGATTTATTGAGGCACATCAAACAGCCAGACATCGGTATCGCATTTGAAGTACATTTCCCGCGATATAACTCACTTTTTCTGACATAAAAAATCAAAATGATTTGTCCATTTTCCATTATTATGTTGTAGTATTGGGTGTATGTGGTGGTATAGGGTAAATTGTGAAAAAAATTTCTTTCAGTACTTTGCGCTAGCCGCCATTGTCTAATTCAGTATTTTGGTCCTATAAAACAAAGTTCATATGCTCTGTGGTCCCAAATTTCATTTCTTTTTTTTTTGTTACCGATAAAGTTTTCTGAAGGTACCGGAGGTGATGTAATTTTGCCAAAAACTACAATTTTGACGGTTTCGCAAGCAAATATTAATTTTTACAAATCTGAGAGATCAAGATGAATGCCCCTACTACAGGTGCAACTAATATCGAAGTCGTTTTGTATTTGCGCCATTTCGATTTAAAGGTGAATAAAGGTGTAAAAATGGACTATTTATTTTACAACCCACTCAAGCTTTTCATATTTTAACATATTCCATCGTAACTATCATAAACATGTAACATTAATTCATACGAAGAAAATATATGTCAAAATTAGTTAGTAATATGAGCAGTTGCCAAGAAATAGTCAATTTTGCATGCGTCACTTTTTATGTTATTTTGCCTGTAAATGAGTCAATTATTATTGGATTTTCATAAAAATGATACCATTTGATGCCTATTATGTCTCTATTGACTAGGTCAAACTAATTTAACATTTTCACTGTAACCGGAAATGGCGTCATTTTGTCAAAAACTGTAATTTTAGCCTCCAAAACAAATATTTTATTGAATTGAGTCGTATTTATTATTTGTTCACCATGTGATGCCTAATGCCATTTACGATTTCATAAAACTAATTCAAGATTTTCATTATAACCGGAAGTAATGTAATTTTGGCAAAATATGTATTTTTAGACTCCAAAATAAATACACCGAGAACTACTAAGTGGTTGATCTGTACGCAGCCCTTATACCCTATGGATGATCCCCATTATTTTTGGTGCATGCCCGATCCCCAGGGGCAGAGCCACGCCCATTTCTTGTATTTGTTTGTTTGTTTGTCGTCTACAGGCCGCATTTCTTAACGTATCATCTTGAAACTTTGCATACTTATTCTTTGTACCATAAGGACCATCCCTATTGTTTGGGGTGCATGCCCAACCCCCAGGGACAGAGCCACACCCATTTTCTTTTTGTGTGTCTGGGTGTCGTCTAGAGGCCACAATTCTTAATCTATCGTCTTGAAAAATGTTCGTATGAATTCCTTATACCCTAAGGATGACCCCTATTGTTTTTGGTGCATGCCCGACCCCCAGTGGCAGAGCCACGCTCATTTCTTGTATTCATTGTTTGTCATCTACAGACCGCATTTCTTAACGTATCACCTTGAAACTTTGCATACTTACTCCTGCCATCCTAAGGAACATCCCTATTGTTAGTGGTGAATGCCCAGCCCCCAGGGATAGAGCCACGCCCATATTCTTTTTGTGTGTCTGTATGTCACTTACAGCCTGCAATGCTTAATCGATCACCTTGAAAACTTTTTTATACTTATTCCTTATACCCTAAGGCTGACCTCTATTATTTTTGGTGCATGCCCGACCCCCTTGGACAGAGCCACGCCCAAAATTTGTGTGCCTTTTGTGTCATCTACAGGCCGCAATTCTTAACGATCCTTTTGAAACTTTGCATACCTATTCCTTATACCCTAAGGATACCCCTGTTGTTTTTTGGTGATTGCCCAGCCCCAGGGGCAGAGCCACGCCATTTTTTTCTTTGTGTCTCTGTGAGTTGCCTACAGGCCACGATTTTTAATGGATTGTCTTTGAACTTGGGATATGTATTCCTTATAGCCTAAGGATGACAACGGCATGTCCCGACCCCCAGGGGCAGAGTCACGCCCAATGTTTATCGTTTACGCAAATAGTAAATCAAGGTTGTGGACCCTCTAGAGGCTACAATTTTGATCCGATTTCGATGAAACTTGAAATACATGTTTATAACCCAAAGATATTGGTTCCTTTTGATATTCGCGCATATCGGATCATAACTTCCTGAATTATGGCCCTTGATTGAACAAAAAATCATGTTTTTACCTTGTGTTCCCAGTAGAGGTCACAATTTTTATCCGATTTTTAAAAAAAAAAGCGTGTTAATATATCACCATTACACACAAAGATCTTGATTCCTTTTGATAATCGGGGTTACCAGAACTTAACTTCCTGGATTATGGCCCCTGATTGTTCAAAAAATCGCATTTTTAGCTTGCGGATTCTCCAGAGGTCACAATTTTTTTCCGATTTTAAAAACCGTTTAGATACATTCCGCCATGACCGTCCTTCTGCCCTGATTGCGTTTCCAGAGCATATCTCATTATCCGTTCAAAAAATCTTTTTGAAACTTTGTACAAACATCAACCTATTATAGTATTTTATTTTCTGATGTATAAGCTTATTGTTTAACATACAGCGGCTGATTGAGGTAGGAAAAGGTTGTTGTACAAACATTACAGGGAGTAGCGACCCTGCCTTGCCCGGCTATTGTGATCAGAGTATGAATCTTCTGTCTGTGGGGATATATTTGATTGTAATATATAATTTTCTTTTCATTAATAGGACTGGTTTCTTTGCTGCTGCTAGCTTTATGTCTTTCCAGCAATGTGAATTTAATTTTGGTGCCAAACCTTTCAAATATGCTCCAAAAATGAAGTTTAGAAAATTCAATGATTGTGGAATCCTGACTGAAGAGGAAAGAGTTATACTGCCAAGGTAAATTGAACCTCAGTAATGATAAATTCAAACATATGCCTAACAATTTCCAGCAGGCAAATATATAAATATATATTTAAAAAAGTTACTTTTAAAATCACAAGATAATTATATATACTATTCAAAAAAAGTAGGGGATATTTGATTTTGGGGGCATAATACTAAAATATGCAAATGACTACGAAAAAAGTCACTATAGAACCTAACAGAAGAAACATTTCCAGTTACATGTGACCCCCAAACGCACCAATAGCTACCGCATGGAATGCAGGTGATGCTTGGGATCATCATGGGGGTCCAACCCAAGATTTGCACGACTCTGACTTTGAATATTACAGTCATTGTGGCATTGAATTCCAGGGTGGAAACATCAGTTTAATTGTTTTAGTGACCAGAAAACAAATTTTGATATGCGTCGGCTTACCCAAAATGAAAGGTTACGTGCCCTTGGCATGCTACAGATCGGCACAACACAGGCGGTTGTGGCGCGGACGATGAATGTTTCTCAGTCTGTCATAAGCAGGCTATGGTCCAGATACCGTGATACACAATCTGTACAGGACAGACCACGCTCAGGTCGACCAAGGGCGACAACTCAAGCCCAGGATCGATTTATCCGTACCTTGGCCTTGAGAAATCGTGTCATCACAGCAAATCAGATCAGCGCTCGTCTTCAAACAGACACTGGTGTGAGAGTGAGTGGCCAGACGATTCGGAATCGACTGCATAGGGGTCACCTTCGCGCCCGACGTCCTCGCCTGATCCCTTGTTTGAGAGATCATCACATTCAGGCAAGACGTCGTTGGTGTAGGGATCGTCAACACTGGGATAATCGACGCTGGAGCAATGTGATGTTTTCAGATGAGTCAAGGTTCACTGTTGATTTTTTGGACAGACGTAGGAGGGTGTGGCGTCGTCGAAACGAGCGCTTCCAAGACGTTAACGTCATCAGACATGATCGATTTGGGGGTGGTTCTGTTATGGTGTGGGGAGGCATCACTGTTACTGGAAGAACGGCTTTACATGTTGTTGCAGGGCGTGTTACAGGCCAGTACTACCGGGACAACATCTTGGCAGTCCATGTTGTGCCGTTCGCACGACGTCATGGCCGCCGTTTCATCTTCCAGGATGACAACGCAAGATGTCACAGGGCCAGGATCGTTACAGGTTACCTCCAACAACAGAACATCACCACATTACCTTGGCCAGCACTGAGTCCCGACCTCTCCCCCATCGAGCATGTCTGGGACATGCTTGGACAGAGGTTACGTCAACGTCAACAACGTCCTGCCAATGTCCAAGAACTTGCTGCTGCGTTGCAACAGGAATGGGACAATCTGGACCAAAATGACCTTAGACGTCTCATTAGGAGTATGCCACGTCGGATCAATGCTTGTTTGGCAAACAGAGGAGGATTTACCCGTTACTGACTTGGTTGTGATGCTGTGGTAACTTTGCTGTTTGACCCCGGGTATCATTTTACCCTTATAATGGTCAGTCTGTGCCTTACTTAGTCTAACGATCATTTGGAATAAATCGATGAATGTGAACTTCATTTCATTTTGTCATTTGTTTCTTCGTCAGTTTCATTAGGTGACTTTAATAACACTTAAAAATCAAATATCCCCTACTTTTTTTGAATAGTATATATAAAAAAGCATAACTGGCGATTTCGGCGTTCATCGTATATTATCTTCACAAAACGTTTTCGCTCAGTGGAGCTCCTCAGTGTGTATACAATGTCTATATGGTAACTGTATTATGACGTCCTTTTCTAATTGTTATATTATGACGTCTTACATAGCTTAAAGGGACATACATAATCAAGAAGAAATCCACACCGAAGACAACTTTGAAGCTGTTGCCAGTCGCATGTTAGACAACAACATCGATATGCCCAGAGACAACACGGGGATCACGTGGCTAAGTGGGTAAGACGCTAGCTCGCTAGCCTGGAGGTCGGGTGTTCGATCCCTGCATTGGCCGAGAAAGTTCATCCAGATTTTCCGGCGTGGTTCTCCCTTGTCAGTGATGCAGGACGGAGGGGCTGACAAGGAAAGCTGTCTAGTCGTTCGGATGGGACGAAAAACCGAGGTCCCGTGTACACATTGGCGTGCACGTAAAAGATCCCTTGGCAGTTGGAATTCGATATAAGAGTAGGCCGTAGTGCCGCTGTCCGGGCAAAATTTCCCTCATTGCACACTGTATGGCGTATGCCCGTCTTCATTAGCCCAGGTTAGGAGCAGAACAGTAGGACGTTAAACTCCATTTCATTTCATTTCATTTCCCAGAGACAACACACGTAGTCAGCGATACTGGTACTTGTGTGGAGAAGCGTTTAAACTCTACAGAGATACAAGGAGAAAAAGAAAACAGCCGACGAAGCTTTCATCCCACTAACTTGTACTACTCTCCCGACGAACAGTGAAACCCTGAACAGTGGAAACCCGAAGCCAGCGGTCCTATGGTTGGCGGAGAAGGAAGCGGAAAGTTTTTCCATAGCACTCATCCAATATGCGGGTCCGAGAGATATGATCGAAGTCTTATCGTATCCCCCATCTTTCGATATGAGTGAACGGATACCCTTCGTCGTAACGTTTGCCGAAGTGGAAGACTAGAACCCACAGGATAAGATGCAGAAGCTTTTGAGACAAGTGTATTGGATTCCTCACGTCCTGAGAAATGTACCCTGGTTGAGACAAGAGATCCTGAAGAGATACCGTGAAAACTAATATTCGCACTTTGGTTCTTTCTTTTCCTTTTGTAGTGTATGCAATGCTTTTTTTGTATTGAATGCCATGCTATTTTTGTATTTTTTGTAAACTAAACTAAACTGTTCTTATTTCACTCCACGTCTGTTGTTTGTGATGGGCGCGAAGGTATAAAAGGCAGGGAAAAAGAGAGTATGGTATAGTGGACGAGATGGATGTGACGTTCAAGCACCACTTTACCATGTTAGTCAGCGGTCCAACGGGTGTTGGAAAGACGGTCTTGGTACAGGTTGGATGGCCGAATGGTTAGCACGTGCGCACTGTATCATAAGGTCTGTCATTGATTCAGCTGGCGTGGTTTCGATTCCCCGGTTGTATGTGACAGGGATAGGGTCTCCGGGTCCTCCGTTTTCCTCCCACTGCTACGATCGATGTCCTCACCGAAATTCCGAAATAAATAGATGACACATATTAATTAATTGCAAGTTTATCTTTTTCCAAAGTATCGAACAATCAAACTGATTATCAACTATACACTAAGTTTTATCACTCTCTATTAGATAGAATCAAAGTCAAAGAAAATGCTTGGCTTTGCTTAGCTTTAACGGGAAATGTTAATCATCATGAACTAAGTCAACACATTCACCTGATGAACATCAACATCACGTTTAGACATTCAACCTCAATTAAAAGCAGTGTTGTTATGTTCAATCAAATTGTTTGACCAATCAAATTGCTTATCGCTCCTCAACCTGAACAGAAAATGCTCATCAACCTATGGGGGAAAGGTATAAAAAGGGAACCGGAGAACGGCCCCGAGCTCAGTCATGGAGACACTGTGGTACCTCTTGAACACTGCACCCAAAACCGTCGTCGACGGTTTGTGTGGGTGTATTGGAAACCTGATTCGCGGCAACGTTCCTGTGACCAAAAACGAAGTCAAGTTCTTGGAAAAGGACGCCCCCTTGTTTCGAAATTTGGGCACGTCTAAGACACCTTGCAAGACCCGTCGGCGATTTCTGAAGCAACAGAAGAGCTGATTCTTCAATCGGTTATTCGGTCCGAAAGATGAAATTCGCCAAGAAAACTGATGCCCTTCGACTGACCCACCTATGTCAAACCCGTCAAAGTCGAACCCGCGTACTATCGAGACCCACTGCAGCAGGCCGTTGGGAACGTTCACCCAGACATGCAACACCTGTTAAACGATCCCACACTGACCGACGAAAATAAAATGCAACGGTACGGACAGTTGTTACACCGTTATCAAACGACGCAAAAGGAAAGTAAAGAGAACAGGTCATTCCCTTGTCAGACGAGCAGATACCGAACACATGAAGGAGAAGATACGTGGTCGTGGAACGAGAACTTAGAATTGATTTGGGATGGCGTACCCCTACCTGGCACCAATGCCATCGACATCGTGGCGACGAACGTACCGCGCGAAACCATCGGCAACAAAGAACGATGGAACGTGTTGTCAAGTATACAACAATAGGTGAAAAAAGCAAAACCGTGAAATGCAAAATTGTAATAAATTATACTGAAGAATATAAGTAAATGTAAATATTTTAATATTCGTCCATATTCGTTATATTATTATTTTTGACAAGTTACCTACTTCTCGAATCAGAACACCTTCCACGTGTGTCTGTAGCTATATTTGTTTCATTACATAGCTGCTGTGTGGACGTATTCCACACATTGCGAGGCTGTCTTTCTAGTAAGATTTAGTGTCTCTACTCTACCATATATACCTGCGTGTTCTCTGTAACATAAGGTCTGTCATTGAGTCAACTGGTGTGGTTTCGATTCCCCGGTTGTACGTGACAAGGAATAGGGTTGTCTGTCCAACCTCGTGGGTTTTCTCCGGTTCCTCCCACTTATTGAAATAAAAAATTGAACCATCTAGTTTGTCTCGTGTGGACTGACTGGACGTTAAACCCTATTTCTTATCCTCTCTCACCTTATATACCAAATAAGCCTTACTGTTATTGGAAATAACTACTGTATAAATATTTTCGTGGAAATGCATCTTTAATTGTCTCCAACAATAAACTTGATGTTGAAAGACCACTATCTGCTGTTATTAAAATAGATCTGCCATTTTATGTTGCCCCTGCTAATTTTACATTCATTCATAAATTTCAATGTTTCAACAAATCGGCACTCATATTTATCCTTTGAATATTTACAGATGAATAACTAGAGCAAGATTTAATTTATTAATGTCACAGGCACTAATAGTTTGTTCTTCATATTTTTCCTTACAGACATAAAAAATTAGATTTACTGAAACAAGTTTTAGTTAAAGAAGATTCATGTACATTATGTTTTGATAAACAAGCTAACATGGAGCTTAAACCATGTGGTCATAGGTAAGTAGTGTTAATATATGAGCATGATTTGGCAAGAAAAAATTGTCTATTATTCCCCTGTCTGAAAGATTAAGAATGTATTGTCCTTTCTTTATACGCAATGGCTTGTGAACGTTATAAAGACTCGAGTATTTGACGGATTGTTTTCAATTCACACCAAAACGAAATAGGCTATAGTTTGGTATAAAGCATTGGGGTCATGAGAGAACAAACCCTATCGATTTTCAGCGTTCTGCGACTTTCATTTTCGAAGTTATTCCCCATTGCCGAAAACCTTGTTAACGCGATAAAGGCCGACCGTAGATTTCTGCGAGGTTTGTTTGATGATGCATAGTGGTCGCCTTATAGTTTTTGACGGATTCTTTGAAATTTGGTGGAAAGCATTTTGATGGTGTGAGGTTGAACCGTATCGATTTTCAGTGTTCTTTGAATTTTCGTTCCCGGAGTTATATCCCCTTTGAACAGTGGGACGTTAAACCCAATTTCATTTCATTTATATCCCCTTTGCCGAAAACCTTGTGAATGCGATAGAGGCAATAGTTTTGGACGGATTCTTTTCAAATTTGATTGTAAGCGAATGAACCCTATCGCTATCGATTTTATTTTCATCTTTCTACAACTTTCCGTTCCGTCCCGCCCCCCCTCCCTTGTCAAAAACCTTGTGAACACGATATAAGCTGTTTCTTTATTCCGCGCCGAACGAAGTTAAGGAGGGATATTGGAATAGGGTCCGTCTGTCCGCCTGTTCCATTTCATTTCCGGGGCATATTTTTATGAAACTTTGTACATACATCAACCTATTACAGTAGTTGTGCCTTTTTCTATTTAGGAATTTTTTGGATTTATATTTTTTTGGTGTATTCATGGAAACAAATTTGACTTAGTTGTCAATTTGTTTCCAGAGCATATCTCATAAAACGTTCAAGATATCTTCATAAAACTTTGTACACATCTCAAACTATTATAGTAGTTTGGCTTTTGCTATTTGGAATTTCTCGGATTTAATGATTTGTGTGTTTCCATGGAAATAAATTTTTTGTGTACAATTTTGTTAAAAATATCTTTATAAAACTTTGTATATGCATCAACCTATAACACGGAGTGTACCTTTCGCTAATGAGGAATTTCTTGGGTTTATATTTTTATACGCCCACATTTTCATGTGGACGTATATTGTCGTCGCCCCTGTCCGTCCGGACGTCCGTCTGTCCACAATGTGTTTGTGGACTCTCTACAGGTCCCTATTCTTGTCCGATTTTGACGAAACTTGAAATATAGGTTTATCCCCAAAAGATCTCGGCTGCTTTCGATATTGGAATGTATCGGATCGAAACTTTATGGCCCCTGTTTGTACGAAAAATCAAGTTTTTAGCTTGTGGACCCTATAGAGGGCGCGTCGAATTACCCAATAACACCCAATAACTGCCCAATAACACCCAATAACTCAAAATAACACCCAATAACTCCAAAATAACAACCAATAACTACAAAATGTTGACTTTGGAAACACAAAATAACAATTTAGTTGATTTTAAGAAGCATTGCTGCTTTGTGTCCAAATCGCGGAGTTTCACGCTCACTCGCCTGAAGGGAGATAACTCGTATATGTGATTTTTGTTGACAAGAAATTAATAACACCCAATAACTGCCCAATAACACCAAATTGTTGAGCAAATCGGAGTTTCACGCTCACTCGCCTGAAGGGAGATAACTCGTATATGTGATTTTTGTTGACAAGAAATTAATAACACCCAATAACTGCTCAATAACACTAATTGTTATTTGTATTTTGTATTGTTATTGTTATTTTGTATTTCCAAAGTCAACAATTTGGTGTTATTGGGCAGTTATTGGGTGTTATTGAGCAGTTATTTGGTGTTATTAATTTCTTGTCAACAAAAATCACATATACGAGTTATCTCCCTTCAGGCCAGATTTGGACACAAAGCAGCGATGCTTCTTAAATTCAACTAAATTGTTATTTTGTGTTTCAAAAGTCAACATTTTGTAGTTATTGGTTGTTATTTTGGAGTTATTGGGTGTTACTGGGGCGTTATTGGGTGTTATTGGGCAGTTATTGGGTTTTATTGGGCAGTTATTGGGTGTTATTGGGTAATTCGACGCGCCCCCTATAGAGGTCACAATTTTTATCCGATTTTGTTGAAACTTGACATGTAAGTTTATAACCCAAAGATCTCAGTTCCTTTCGATATTCGTGCATATCGGACCGTAACTGCCTGAATTATGGCCCCTGATTGTACGAAAAATCGCGTTTTTAGCTTGTGGACCCTATAGAGGTCATAATTTTTATCTGATTTAAAAAACCGTATTATTATATCACTGTTACACCCTAAGGAAGGTTGAGTTCGAATTTTGTGAAAATCGGACCAAAATTGCCGGACAAAATGGCCGCCGTTTGTACGCGAATAGTGTAAAAATATGGTAAATCAAGGTTGTGGACCCTGTATGGGTCACAATTTTAATTCGATTTTGATGAAACTTGAAATGCATGTTTATAACCTAAAGATCTTGGTTCCTTTCGATATTGTCGCATATCGGATCTTAACCTCCTGAATTATGGCCCCTGATTATACGCAAAATCGCATTTTAGCTTGTGGACCTTATATAAGTCATAATTTTTATCCGATTTAAAAAACCGTATTATTATATCACCGTTACACCCTAAGGAAGGTTGAGTTCGAATTTGGGGAAAATCGGACCAAAATTGCCGGGCAAAATGGCCGCCTCTTTTAGCTTGTGGTCCCTCTGAAGGTCAAAGTTATTATCTGATTTTAAAAATCGTTTGAATATATCACCGTAACACCATAATAAAGGTAGATTTCAAATTTCCTGAAAATCAAACCAAAACTGCCGGACAAAGTGGCCGCCGCTTGTACGCGAAAGGTGTAAAAATATGGTATATCAAGGTTGTGGACCCTGTAGAGGTTACAATTTTAATCCGATTTTGATGAAACTTGAAATGCATGTTGATAACCCAAAGATCTTGGTTCCTTTCGATATTTGCGCATATCGAATTGTAACTTCATGAATTATGGCCCTTGATTGTAGGAAAACTCACTTTCTTTTTAGCTTGTTCTCTATCCATCTCTCAAAAATGTGGGCGTATCCTGCCTGGCAGCCGCTGGTTTGTGTTTTCACTTAGTTTTTAGTGTACAATTTTGTTATTGGAGCATATCTCATAAACCAGTCAAGATATCTCCATTAAACTTTGTACAAACATCAACCTATTATATTAGTTGTTCCCTTTGCTAATTTGGAATTTCTTGGATTCAATCATTTTGATACGCCCACATTGTAGTCCCTCTAGAGGTAACAATTTTTATCCGATTTAAAAAACAAACGTTTCACAGTTACACCCTATTGATGGTTGAGACCGCATTTCGTTAAAACCGGACCAAAATATCGTACGCAAATATTGTGAATATATGGTGTATCAAGGTTGGGGGCCCTCTAGAAGTCACAATTTTGTTCTAATTTTGATGAACCTTGAAATATATCGGACTGTTGTACAATGGTTTTATACATAAGACTACCAATTAGACGCTCTGTAGAAGAAATCAACAGGTCACAATTCTATGGAATACAATTACTGCTTATTACTGAGCGACGTTTGATAATTGCTTGATAATGCCTAGAGAAGCCTAGTCGAAACGTCGCTCAGTAATTGGCAGTAATTGTATTCCATAGAATTGTGACCTGTTTATTACAGTTCAATTACTAAATGCCATTGAAACAATGCTCCAAATCGTAAAAAATACGCCGTTTTCAATTTTCGATCTCTTTTTTTTTCTGCTACCCCTGATATATCGGGCTGTTCCTTACACAAGAATACCGATTGGACTCTCTATAGAAGGAGTTAAAAAAAAATAGGTGGACTTGTCGAGAAATCGTAAAAAAAACTTACTTTTCAAAGTCACACAACTTTTTTAATTCTTAATAGAAACTTATCGCTTTAGTTCCACCTCATGGACAATTCAATTGGCTATTAAACTATATAAAAATTTACCTACTCGGTAAACAACCAATTGATACATCGTATTTTCCGCACAGACACCAATTTTTATACGCCCACACTGAAATGTGGTCGTTTATTGTCGTCGTCCCCGTCCGTCGAACGATCCATCGGTCTGGCGTCCACAATTGTCGTCGCCCCCGTCCGTCTGTCGGTCCGGCGTCCACAATTGCTTGTGGGCGCTCTAGAGGCAAAAGTTAATATCTGATTGACTTTAAATTTATACACAGTGTTTAAGGTCATGAGACGAAGAAGCCTATTGATTTTCAGCGATTTCCGATAATTACTGCCAGACTTATGGTCCTTGATCACATCAAAAAATATTCTGGACGCTCTAGAGGTCAAAATTAATATCCGATTGACTTTAAATTTATACACAGTGTTTAAGGTCATGAGACGAAGAAGCCTATTTATTTTCAGCGATTTCCGATAATTACTGCTCGAGTTATGGCCCTTGATCACTTTGAAAAATCTTGTTGACGCTCTAGAGGCTAAAGTTAATATCTGATTGACTTTAGATTTATACAATTTCTGTAGATTACTTCCAGAGTTACGGCCCTTGTTTTAGTTTTTAGAACCTTTTGAACCCTCAAATGACGAAAATTATAATGTCATCTGTATGAAATTGTCTATTAAATTCCCCTGATTACCTACAAAAGAATAAATATGCGACAACCTTTGTCGACTGCTCGGACGATTTAGCTGCTGTGTGCGTATGTTTTGTTGCCTGGCAATCTATCTTTTTCAAAGTTTGATGCTCTTTTTTGACCATTTATATCATTTCAAGTCTTTTACATTTGGATGCACACCCTAGACCACAACGCTAACCTCTAGGTCCAATAGTCAATCCCCATATTAGTCGAGAAATTATCAGATTTTCCAGCTTGGTTCTTCCCTTGTGAAAAGTGTAAGGATGATGGATGACCTGACAAAGGACAACATATAGTCAGAGGGGATGAGAAACCTA